CCACGTTATGAACAATCATTACATTTCTAAGCTCCCTTGGGTTGTGATCCTTCTATAATTTAAAAACCAACTGGAACACGAATGTTTTTGCAGCATCTTGGTAAAGAAGCAGTGTTTCCACAATTATTTTGAGTTTGCACAACACTTCCACAGCGACGTCATCGTGCTGTCCCGTCGTAGTGGCAGCATGGTGGCAGCGTACTCATCATGCGGGTCCTGTGCACACCGGCATGGCACACCTGCAAGAATGAGGAACATAAGAGCATCTCTGGGATACAGAAATTTGTGCAACAATAGTTGTAAAAAAAAAAAAAAATCTCCATTTAATTTTCTGTGAGCAACCCTAATACTTTTATTAGTCTTGTTTATGATCCTGCAGGGATTTAATTTAAGCTGAAGGAACTACCTGAGCCCGTGGTGTTGTCAGATAAGATGAATATCAGTCCTGTGGGTTTGTTCCTCACATTCAGGGGAGACAGATTGTTACAGATTGTGGCTCTCACTGAGGAGTTTATCACTTTTCTAATCCTGTTTTTTAACATTCTGAGGCATCTGCTGTTAAACCTGCACAGATCCAGTTCAGGTGTTGGATCCACTTGAATCAGATGTTCTGTTTTCTGGACTCGAGTTGCATGTTTTTTTACAATCGACAAATACAAAATGTATGAATACAACTTTTTATATCATCTCTTGTCCAAACAGAAATAAACAATGCATGTGTTGGGGATTATTTCCATTAATATTTTAATGAGTTTGCTGGTTCAGGGCCAGTCCCAGTGACTCAGATGAATAATCTACTGCCAGGCCTCTCATACACGTTCTACTGGGTAGTTATTGTTCACTGTTGGTTTGAGCTTACCAGATTTTCTGCAAATAATAAAATATAAAACATCACCACTCTTCTGAAGTTGAACCAACAAACCACAAAATAAACCAAGAAACTGCTTTTGTTTTAAACTCACCCATTGTGTTTTTTAATTTTGAAGGGTTTTACTTTTTTCTTTCATGGTGCTGTTAAAGAAATTGTTCATGTTCGCTAATTTTTAGGTCAAAAGAAAATGAATCAAAGCTTTTGACACATGCATGAACGCTCCCTTCTGACAGAAAACGTGTCCAAGTTTAAAAAGCACGCGGATGAAAAACACTGGTTGAGTTTGGCCTATCTTCACTTCTAAAGTGTTCTCCAGAAGATTAAATCATAATTGTGGGGTCACTTGACAATAGCAGACAAAGGTGGTTAAAATGTGGATGGAGGTGGGCAATTAAATAACATGTGCAGCCAATAATACAGTTATACAAGATGTGCACATAAAATAGACCGTGGTTTAAAAACTCTGCTGCACCAAACGTTATGCAGATGACTGTTTGCTTTGTTGCAAACAGGATTCAGTTGGACTGCTCAGGGAAATTAATGAATTTTCTCACAATATTGAGTCAAGTTTGACTCATGAACTAATCTGTAACAGTCCCAACCTACTGGGAAGTTACCCATTTCCCCATTAAACCATTTTTTTTTTCAAATATAAAGCTGTTCTGCTGCTGTTAAAATATAAATGTTGAACCTTTACTCATTTTCAAAAACTCTTTTTTTTTTTGCTAATTTAAAAAAAATCATTAACTAGCGCTATTAGAAAACGGTTAAGGGTCAAATATGATATTATTTCTTGGAAGTATTTGTTTTTTATCCTATTTGTTTTGCTATAGAAGGTCTAAAGATGAATACACAACCGTTTGAGCTGATCCATCAACGTCTGCAGTTTTAAATGTGCATCAGCCTCTGCTGCTCTCAGGATGAGTTCAGTAACTGATCCACGAGCGCTGGATCCAGATGTTCCTGCAGAGATTCATCTGGTTAATCACACAGATCTGTCCGCCTGCCTGTAGCACTGCTTATCCGCTCATAAACTGATGGGTTCACTGTTTGGGAATCTTGTCAGAATCTGGGGACACAATACGTTAAAGTAAGACAAAATGAATTTTGTGGAATTCGTCACATCTTGAGGATCTATCACAGACATTAAAACCAGAAGTCACAAACATGCCTGACTGATATCGCTCCAATCTACAAGCTGTTTGGACAACATCATAAATTGCAGGCACACAACTAGATAATTGTCATTCTTTTGAGGAAAGTTGTGCCATAAAAATATGTCAAAGTGTCTCAGTTTCTGCCGCTCATCACCTAACATTTCTGCAATCTAAAAGACGGGCTCATAGCACAGAAGCCCAATGCATCATGGAGTGTTAGTTTACAGCAAAGAAAATGATGAGGCAGTGAATTCTATAGATCAAGATTGGAAATTGAGAAGCGTCTGAAAGGACGAGCAGTGGCAGGTTCTGTTGGAATGAGATGGATCGCATTTCGAAGTATCCTCCCAACAAGATAACGGTAATCTTCATGGTTTGGCCTCAGAGCGCAGTAGCAAGCGGCCCAGCAGATGTCAAACAGCCTCTCAGTCACACCCCTAGGCCTTGGAACAGCCTCTAAACATATGGGTTGCATGCATTAGTGCAGTGGACTGTATTTCTTCCAGTGAGCACTTTTGCTGTAACCTGCTGACATTGTGCACAACCACCACCAGTTAAAGTAACGCTCTCGAATAATCTGTACTGTGTACTGGTAATGCAAGCACAGTCCAACCACAAACCAGTTTAACTTCCTGCTGTATCAAACCGTTTCCCTGAGTTTGAGGTTGTGTAAACCATCCTCATCCTCATTTTTTGCTGCATCGATGGCCGCTTGTCCTGAGCCTGGTTCTGCTAAAGGTTTCTTCCTCTCGAGGGAGTTTTTCCTTCCCACTGTCGCCTTCGTGTTTGCTCAAGATGAGAGTTCTGTGATGGAGTTAAACTCAAAGCTGCTCCTCAGATAAATAATGTTAAATTATTATTTTTATATATGAATGTTTCTGTTCAGTTCCCTGAGACGACTTATCTTTTACCCACTTCTTCCATTTTTGGGTCACGGGGGTCGCCGGTGCCCATGTCCAGCCATCACTGTGGGAGGGGCGGCAAACGAAGATTAAACTTAAGCAACCAGAAGTTGCAACATATTCATTCAACCTTTATTTCTACAGGTTAATCCCATTGAGCCTCGAGGACTCATCTACAAGAGAGGCCTGATTTTAACAAAGAGTGATGACGACAATGGACAATTAGAAAAGAGGCATAGAGATTTATTTTTATTTTTTTACAAATTCAAATAAGTTGGCAAAAAAAAAAAGTAGCAAAAAACAGCTAGATTCTAAGGCGAATGTCGAAAACTATAAACAGGAACATGTCTGCATCGGTTTTTGCCAGGAGTCCAACAGATGCTTAAAGCCACTTAGGAGAAGGCCCTTTTGTCATATATCTAGATTTAAAACACACAACTAGCTTTAAGCTTTAACCTTTAATTTAACTATTAATCATACAATGTAATTATGACACAAAATTGAGGATTTACTTACAGATACCTTCAGACGAGCATGTACAAAGTACTACTTCCTGTTTATCACTGTTGTATTCAGCTGATCATGAGGTCGGCCGCAGGGCTTTATCATCTTTTACATTTTTCCAGACTCAGTTTATTTTTTGAAATGTAATAAACTGTATTCCAACTCTCAGGGTGACGCAGTCTGAATCACGTTTTCCACTGACGACGTTTAACCATTTTTTTATGATGATTTTTCACAAAATCCCTCTGACCGCAAAGCGTTCATATTATAAAACCCCAACAATGTTGTCAGAGTAAAAGTGGGTGCAGCTCCTGCAGACGAGGGAGCGTTTCACTTCAGGACGAGTTGTGATCGCCGATTGGTCAGTTGCAGATGAGGCAGGTGGCGTTGAAGATCCGACTCGTGCAGAAAGATAAAAACCATGGCTTTTAGCGACCCGTTTAAGACCGTCATCATTTATTCCATGGTTATCTCAAATGTATTAAATATTTTGGTGAATCTAATGTTTGAGAACTGAGCTTCCTTACAAACTTGTAATGATGGTTTCTTTATTTTTCAGGGGTGCCGAGTTAAAATTTAGGAAAAGAGGCTCAAATCGCCACTCATGTCATTGCTTTGTACGCTTACAACAACATAACTTCAGTAATCATTTAATGTGTGTTTATACAGATTGTAATTATAGCAACTGTATGGCAACAGTACAAAATGTAAAATATGGCATGCCTTGCAAACACTTAGGCCTGATGATGGATAACAGCACTGTGGTGTATTAATGAAAGTATTTACTAAACCTCATTGACTTCTTATTTCCATTAAGCTTTATTCATCAGTGATTACTCACTTAAAGTGCCTAAACTGCTTCCAAAGCCTAATGACATTCATTTTCAAGTTATTTCTCTTTGTTGTTTAATAGCTTTTTTCCAAAAAACATCATTTCTGTGACAATTTTAACCCAACAATTGTACCAACAATCCTGTGTTTAAGAGCTGTTCTTACATGATGTACGGCACATTTTCTCTGTGTCTGCCCCGTCTCAACATTTATTTCGATGATTGTGTCTCACAAAGCATTCAAAAGGTGCAGGAGGTTAATCGTGTAAGAGGACGTGTTGCGAGTTTGAGGAGGAGACAAAACTGTCAGCAATCACAGGCAGTTAGGAAACTCATTAGCTTGCAGCTTATTATGGCTAAAGAGTATCATGATAATAACTCTAAACACATTGGAAGTATAGCTGCAGCTTTCCTTTGTATGTTGCACCTGTGAGGCAGTAGTGCGTGTGCATGTGTGCACATAATCTTTGACTTCCTCTAATATCCCCAGCTTCATACTGGCCCCTCACACTGTGCAGCGCTGATAGCACAGTTCACCCTGCAGCAACACACACAGTGGCCGTTTAGTGCAGGCAAAGATGATGCAGCTTCCATTAAGAGGATGAAACACGCCGCAGAATGGTTTTCTTACAGCTGCTGTTTCCTGATACACTTTTGGTTATTGACGCCGTTTGAGCTGCTCTCCGTGTTTTTATTGGAATAATGTTGTGTCGTCTCTGTTTCCTTCTCCGTGAAGCAACAGCATCGCAGCGTCGGCGGTTTGTGCCTTCAACCTGAGCGCCATCACCCAAGCCTTCAACGGGCCCTTCCGCTCCCAGGAAAATCCCCGCTCCACCTGGCTCCCCACGCCCAACCCCATCCACAACTTCCAGGTAAGTTTCAGCGCAGAGGAAGAGAGAAGGAGCTGATTGGCTGAGCTGTAAAAGTAATTACGGTTAGCATTTTTAAGTGTAAACTTGCATTAAAAAAGTTTCCCAAAAGCAAAGGGTTCAAGCATTCAGTATGATGTGGGATATCTGTCTGCCCTTCGTTTGCAGTGCGGAACAATAGACGACAAGGGACCCAACGAGGGTCTGACGGAGCGCAGCCTGCAGGACGCGCAGAGACTGTACCTGATGAACGACGTAGTCCAACCGGAGTCTGTCGATCCGCTCGTCATGCAGGATGATGTTCGCTTTTCCAACCTCGTCGTGGACATCGTTCAGGGAATGAACACGCTTTACCACGTCATGTACATCAGCACAGGTCAGTAAAGCAGCAGAACTGTATGACCCACGAGTGCATTTTAATTTAGGTTACTTATTATCGCCTTTATTTGTTTCAATTAGAATATGGCTCCATCCTGAAAGCTCTGGCAACACCTAATAAGAACCTGCAGGGTTGTTACCTGGAGGAGATGGAGCTCTTCCCACCTGGCGTGCGAGAACCCATCTTGAGCCTGCAGATTCTGCACAGCGAAAGGGCGCTCTTTGTGGGGCTCAACAACAAAGTTTTAAAGATCCCACTGGAGAGGTGTTCCACTTACAAAACTGAGATGTGAGTAGATCAAATGTTGACGTGCAAATGTTTTTCTCTGCCTTGAACAACATTAAAAGAATCAGACAATGAGTTACCTGTGCAAGAAAGCTGAGAGTCTGTATTATGTCACTAGAAACACTGTTTAGTGGCACTTACATGCATATTTAAGATCAGGTAGGAGTGAGAGATCCGACACTTATAAGTGCATAAAGATTACCTGCCTATAATATTAAGGTATTTTTGCATTGATACAAATATGCATTGCTTGTTATTATGTCCAACATAAGAACAAAGAACAAAAAGGCATGAGAAACCTTATTGAAGCAACATTAGCAAACGCTCACGCTCTTTTGTGATCGATGGTTTTCAGTCCTGGGCTTTGATTCTTGAGCAGTTTGATCATTATTTGGGGATTTTTATGTCCGAAGGTTTTGTTGTATCTTTCTTTGTTTTCTTGTTGCACTTTTTCTATTTCTTGCTCCACTTGTCAGTGTTTCAGCTTAATGTTGCATTTATTTTCCTCCCGTGCTGAGTTTTGCATTTTCATGTGTAGAGTCTGTCCTCTGGTTCCTTCAACCCACTGGGTCTTTATTTGGTGATTGTCAACCGCTGTTCATTTGGTTTCGGTCCTCTCAGTGTTTATTTTGCCCAGTTTTCTTATCTGACTCTTTCATCCTCCATGCAAATATTAGCTTTCATAAATACTGTTCAATGGAACAAACGTTGAAGAACCACAGAGCTACCGAAATAAGAACAGTCCTCTTTGTCACAAATTAAATCCTTACAGCTCAATGCCGTCATATCCACATCCTACTCCACCACTGACAGTAGCAGGTGTTTTTGTCCAATAATTGGCTCATAACTAATAATCACATCTACCGTTCTATAAACCTTGTGGTTAACACAAGCTGTGCTTTTGTAACTCTTCGTGCAACAACACAAGTTATTCGTCTTTATCTCTCCTGAGCTGCTCCACAGGATACTACGAAGGGTTAAATGTGACAAAATTAAATAAATACATCATGAAATAAATAAATGTAAATGTCCACTTAAATAAATCGACATTCCATGAAATAAATAGACATTGAAATAATTGAATATATTTTTAAATAAAAATTATCTTGAAAATGACGTTTATTTATTCAATGCCACTATTTACAAGGTGCATTTATTTATTTATTTAATGGGACATTTAGTTAATTAATGGTGCATTTCATAATTTAATGCCTTTTTTTTTTTTAACTTTTATTTATACAGGTAGTCTCATTGAGTCAAGAGAGACCTGTTTTTTGGGAACAGTTTAACGGCCTTGCTCAGAGACCCAGGGTGGGGCAAATGAGGGTGGAGGCAGGTGTGGGTGTTTCATCTTTTCCACCCACATTTTGATGCTAACCGCACCGGGAGTTGAACCTGCAACTTTCCGATCACAGGCCCATCTTTAACCTCTGCACCACTGCTCCCCCACTCAAATGATTTACTAACGCATTAAATAATTAAAGATACATTTAATTGTAGTTGTAATTTAAATGTATTTATTTATTTGATTTAGCCACATTGAACCCTCCTTAGGATGCACATGGAATACGTTATTGTTGACTTTGTGCTTTTTGACAGTAAATTCATATGAACCTGGTCGGCGCACAGCTGAAGGCAATTATTTGTCCACAGCGAGGATTAATGTGTGGAAGACCCAACCGGTAATCATTAAAGTCCTTATGGTCCCAGACAAATGATGAGGGCGGTATCTCCTTCGGCTTGTTAGAGGAAATAAATTTGTTGTGGTTTTGCTGTAATGAAGTTCTGCTAAATGCAAAGAAACGCTGTTCCGTCTCTTTTGGTGACCCGTAAAGAAGAAGGGGGGGTTGAGAGCTGTGTGGTGTGAAGGTACTGCTCAAACTGGCTGACGCATTCCTCCACGAAAATGTGATATAAATATATATTTATTTATTTTTGTGCGTGAAAGAGCCACACAAAAAGGTCTTTCACTCTGCCATCTCCAGCTTCAGTTGTTCATGTGAAAATCTCCGTGCAGAGGATGAGGTTTTTGTATTTTTGAGGGGGGAAAGCTGGCTGGCTGTTTCTCCAACCTCCTGTATCTCATCAGTGCACTCAATCAGAACTCTCAGCTGGCCACCGCCGCCCTTCAAAGGCAGCTTGATTTTAGCATACAAATAGCTTGATGCTGTACCTGCTTGGTGTGTGTGGAAGCCGGTCCGCTTGGTCTGATTATTTTTATTTTCATTGGTGGTTCCTTTGAGTTCTCATCCAGCGTGTGTGCTGCCCAACAGGTCAGCTCACAGTTTGTCAGATCTCTTAGGCACAAAACATGTCTTTGACAAAAACACAAATCAAGATCGCTGCAATATTTCATCAAACCTGGTTGACATGCACAGGATTATTGTCAGGCACGAGGAGGTGCAGGACAGGAGAGAAACAAAAAGCGGTGACAGAAAGGAGCTCATTAGAGATGATGTGGGGTGAAACCGTACAAGGAGTGGCCCTGAAGGAGGCAGGGAGGAGGAGGAGGACACAATGCCTTTAATCTAGTTAGCAACATTTTACTCACCTCTGCAGCTCACAATCCTCCAAATGCACCGTAGCTTAATATAGAGTGCACAAGACAACAGATGTCAGTCAGTCAGGGAACGTTTTCTTATTAAGCTTTCACACTATTGTTTCCTGTTTGTATTCATGATTCCAACTTCTTCTTCCATATCCTGTACAGTGTGATTCTTGTCCTGCAGTTTTTAAGCTGTTTCAGCAATTTAGGTATCAAAACGTTCAGCTCCGTCAGGAGAAGGGTGCTATTGGTGCAACTTTAGCTTTTTGAAACATTTAGCCTTTTCTGACATTTGTTTTTCTGTCGTAGAAAAATAATTGAGCTCATTTTCCATCCTTCAAATCTTTAGATCTGTTTACAACCTTTGGCTGCTCCTTTCACATTTTGTTCTGCTTCAGCTTCTTTCAGCTTCCTTCTGCACATTTAAACTTTTTTCAGCTGCTTTCAGCTGTTTCTTTCAGCTGTTTTTGCTCCTTTCAGATTCTTTTGGCTAACTACAACATCTTTGTGCTTCTTCTAACGTCTTTCTTCCATTTTCAGCTTGTTATGTTCCTTTCAGCTTATTTCGGCAAGTTTCAGCTTTTTCTGCTATTTCAGCAAGTATTTAGTTGTTTTCATGCTCATTTTGGCTTTTTCAGCTAATTCCACATTTTTTGCATTCATTTCAACTTTTTCCAACCTAATTCACAAAAATTTGCTCTCCACTTCCTTCTGGTAATTTAAGCTTCTTTCTGCTTTTTAGCTACTTTTTAGCTGGTTTTATGCTAATTTAATATTTTTTCAGGTAATTTTAACTTTTTTTGTGCTCATTTAATTTCTAAGGTGTGAATTGAGGATGGGTTAGATTTAGGGTAAAGGTCAGGGTTAGGCTATAGATATGAATAAAAAAAATGAATGGAAGTCAATTAAAAAAACACCTCTTTAATGTTTGTTGTGCTTTTTTGAAGTCAATTTTAAGAATTGAACCAAAGACCCACAAAATAAAAACGTCTCCAACTCTGATGTCCTCCACTGTGGTTGTTGGTTCAACGTGATGCTTCAGGCTGTTTTCTGGACCTCCTGGATTTGACTCTTTAACATTGCATCGTGTTTCCCTGTTAGAAAAGGCTTCACGAGTACTTACTTACAAATGTAAATATTGCTAATATTACAAGTACTACACGGATACTTGACATGATTTAATAGAGAATGGGCCAAGGTTGCGCAGTCGCAGTTTATTCCCTTTGGCATTGCAAAAGCAAACGCGTAGGAGCTCCTAATTTATTCATAGGATTAATAATCTTTAACTGTTTGGTCCAAACACACTTTTAGACATTAGCCAAAATATTTTTCATCCATGCAATCCTTATAAAGCTCTTATCCAGTCAAATATTTTACTGGCTTCTGACAATGCTGAGGACTTGAAATAAGGAAACTCAATCTGAGGGTTTCAGGTAATGCTGTACAAGTCTATATTACAAAAATACAGTAATACTCCCATTACAGACGAGAGAAGAGGTCAGCTCGAGTCTTGCTGCAACGGCTTTCTCTTTCTTTTGAACCATCTTCAGTCATTTCTCTGGGCGCCCACTGCTCAGGCTATTTGGAAAAAGACCCACCTACCATTTTACTCAATCCGACTCGCCATCATTGTGCTGCTGTCTGAATGAGCTGAATGGATTTTCATTCAGTCTCTGCGTTGTGTGAGGTCGTCCTATTCAGACTCGCTCATATGGCGTATTCACTCACATACACGCAGGCGACAACAGCAGCAACGCTTACACAAATAAAGTTCAGCTGGACTTGATTGAGACATCATTTATATACAAGCTGTAATTATCTGCTTTGTTAAGAAGTTTTAGGCTGTAACACAAAGACTGGTGGTTAATTTGGTCCCCCATCGCAGAGTGAAGAGGGGGAATTGAAAATACCGTCCGTCAGTCCATTTGTGCTTGGTGTGAATATGAGAACTTGAAAATTACGTGAGGTACTGACTTCCATTTTGGTGCTACATCAATGTGTAAGAAAGATTCCTACCAAAAACTGGGTTGCCACATCAAAATCCAAGATGGCTGCCACCATATATGTATAATTGTAAGCTGTGTGAGCTGGATAACTTGAAAAATAAGTGACTTGTCAACTTTAATTTTGGTGTGTGACTGCATCTAGGTGTAAAAAAAAATGTCCCCATCAAAATTGGGTTGTTACATCCAGATCCAAGATGGCTGCCACCATATATGTCCGTCCATCTTGTGAGCTGAATAAATAAAAAAATAACTAATAAAAACAAGAGCAACATGGTGACTTCCATATTGGCATGTAGCCGCATCTAGGCATAATAACTATCAAACTATCAAAAAAAGATGGTCCACCACCATATATTTATGTAAACCAACCATCCTTATCACTTGAGGAAACTATTAGGGATTCACGATATTGGATTTTTGGCCGATGTCCAATATGCCGATATGTTAAAACT